GGGGACAAGAATGTGGGGACTGGCACCTTTGGGCTCAGGGAGCTCTGGGGATAGGGACAAGGGAACTGAGATGCAGGGACAGAAGGGGACAAGAACGGTGAGGATGTGGCCATGGGGATGGGATCATGGGGATGGGATCATGAGCTGGTGGGAGTGACCTGGGCCAGCATGCGCTATGTCCATGGTGTCCTCGTGCCTGGGGTGTCCACAGTGTCCCTATGTTCTGCCTCAGCCCAGGGTGGCCTCAGTGTCCCAATGTATCTGTGCCACATGGATGTGGTGCACAGGTGGCTGTGACACTGACATGTGTCCCTGCCTCTCCAAACCTTTTGGGGACTGACCCCACACATTTTCTCACAAGAACTGCTGTCCCCATGGGGACAGTTTGGGGACAGCCCCCACACCCAGTGTCGCCTTGCTGCTGTCTCCATGGTGCCACCCTCACTGAGCCCTGTCTCTTCTCCCTTCCAGCCCAGACCCTCAGCCTTGCTGGTGAGTCCTCGGGGGATGCCATGGCCCCACCCTGCTGTCCCCAGCCCCACACTGGCCTTGGCAGGCTGGTGTCCCCTGTCACTCACAGCTGCCCAGACCACCCAGCTCCTGGTGGAGCCCCCCTGGAGGCCAGCGGTGCTGTGGGACCGGGTGACACTGACCTGCCAGGGCTCGGGGACTGCCGGAGCCGCCAGCACCTGGAACAAGGACGGGAAGCTCTGGAGGCAGGATGATGACCACTTCACCGTCACCAAGATTGGCACCTACACGTGTGACACACCTGGCACCGGGTTCAGCCCCTCCATGAGAGTCTCAAATGGTGAGGGGGGTTTGGGTGTCCTCAGCCTGGCACCCAGGGGGAACCCAAGGGTTCTGGGTGGACTCTGCTCCATGGGTCATCTCCTGTGTGACTAGAGCCTGTCCCCTGCTCTGGGGACATCCCAGAGCATCCCAGAGTGGAGAATACCATGTTGGATTTGGGCAACCCTGGTGGGCTGGGAGACCCAATGGGGGGGGTTCTGGTGATATCATGTGTGTCAGAACCCCTCTGTCCCCTAGACTGTTTGGTGCTGCAGGTGCCGACGGGGACACTCCTGGAGGGGGACACAATGACACTGCGCTTCCAGGGCAAGTGGAACCGCAAGGTCAACTTGGTGTCCATCTACAGCGAGGGGGAGGAACTGCAAGGGCTCAGCAATGGGACCAAACTGTCCCTGTGCCCCCTGCAGCTGCAACACAGCGGCAACCACAGCTGCAATGGCCAGGTGGAAACCTCGAGGTGGAAGGAGTCAGCACCAGTGACAGTGACAGTGCACGTTGAGCACCCCAAAGCCCCCATCCCGACACCCCCATAGCCCCACAGCCCCTCCCCTGGGATTCAGGCTCACAAATCCCCCTCCCCTCTCCTTCCTAGAGCTCTTCTCAGTGCTGGTGCTGGAGGGTCCTTCCAAGCCCACCATGGGGTCCCCCCTGACTCTCAGCTGCCTCAACACCCCCAGCCCCCTGCAGCCCCAAGCCCCCCTCCTGCATGTGTTCTCCCGGGACGAGCAGGTGGTGGGTTGCCCGCAGGGGTCCCCACAGCTGCTGGTGCCCGCCGTGGGGGTCTCCCACTCGGGGAATTATAGCTGCCCCTGTCCATCCCCGTGGAGGCACAAAGATGCCAAAGGGCTGAGAGAAAAACAAATTCCTGAAACAGCAATGAGAAAGAATAAAACTAACAGCAACAGTAACAAGGTTCTGGGTCCAAATTGTCACACAAGGAACAATTTCCAGGGGAAGCCAGCAATAAGGAACAAACCCCAGGTATTTCCCCTAAGCACGTTTCCTCCACCAGATGAACCTGGTAGGGCCCTGGACCTTCCCTGCTCTGATGGCCAAAGAAGCCTTCAGGAGGCTCTGGATTCTCTTGTCCCCTGTCCCAAACTCCTCCTCTGCCGAGTTCCCTACACTAGGATGCCACAAAGGCCTTGTGGGGATTCCAGAATCTCCCCTTTTGCCAGGGCAGTCAGGATCAGGCCATGGTACAGGGTGGGGTGTCAGAGACAGGAAAAGTTTGATGTCTAGAGACATTTTGGAACAGCTGTGTGTGGTAAGGGGGGTGCTGAGGCCCTGCTTTTGGTGGGACAGGGCCCTGCCTTTCCATTAGTCTGTCAACTCTGCCACTCTGGGGACAGTGGCACGGTCTGCAAAACCCAGCTCCTGAGTGGCCACGGGACCAGAAGTGCCACTTGGGGAGAGGGTGCTTGGTGGCCCAACTAGCTTAAAAGACATACATGTGGTGGCCATGTCCCTGACTGTGTCTTCTCTTGGGGTGTCTGTCCCAGCCAGAGTGGAACCCAGAAACTTGGCAACCCCTCAAATGAGAAATGTCTACCAAAGAAAGTGGGAACATTCCTGGAATGGAAAGAAGACTCATACAAAAGACTCTATAATTTTAAAGTTGATGGAGTTTCAAGGCAGAACTGTAGGAAAAGGAATAACGGCCCTTTACTGTGAAATTTATAAACCAAATCACAACAAACAACACAAACCCAAAACTTTACCTCCCGCTCAGCGCTGTTGGTTTTTGTGGCAGTTATAACCGCGGCCGGCAGAGGCAGCTGCAGGGAGCACTCCCGGCTAGCAGGGGGCGCTCCCGGGAGCTCTCCCGCCCAGCAGGGGGCGCTCCGGTCCAGCTCCATCCCCTCAGGGGCCATGGCGGCCTCGGACGGGAGGGAGGAGGGGAAATCGCTCCTTTTGCAAACTCACGGGCACCAATGAGTCCCGGCACCACCACCGGCAGCGGGCAGAAGCCGCCAAGGCAGCAGGTTGCATCCCAGTGCCCACTGGCAGCGTAGCAGTGTCCTGGGGCCAGACACAGGCCCTGCACAACACCCGTGGCCACACTCCATAATCCCGAATGGAAGGAAGGCAGCACCTGACCCCAGGCAGGTGTCAGGTCCACAGCAGCACCTCTGGTGGCTTTAAACCACAATTTCTGCAAACCCTCAGCCTTTCACTCAGGTGAGGAGGGCAGGGATGGAGCAGCTTTGGGGACACCTGGAATCCACACAGGGTCAGTCCCCAGAGCCCAACCATGGCCGGGGGCAGAGCCCCTACTCGGTATTCCCACACTTTTCCCTCTTATCTGGCAGACACATCCCAAACCCAAACATTCTTTCCATGAGGCTCCAGAAGGCTGCAGGTTTTGTTCAAGAAGGAGGGTCCAGGTCAGGCTGTTGAGCAGAATGTTGTGGGTTGTGCAGTAGTTTTGTGGTTCTCTCTGTCCCTTACAAAGAGGAACAAACACACAATTGCTGGATTTCCAGGCTGGTTCCCACACAGCTGCCCCTGCCGGGGGGGTTTCCAACCAGCCCTGATCTGAAAACCATCAAAGGCCCTTTCAGAGCCACTGCTTGGGCTCCCCTTGGGGTTTGTGCTTCTTGCAGGGCTGAGCAAACCACAGGCAGGCCTTTTTCCTCCACAGAATTCTCACCTCTGCAGCAGCTCCATATGCCCAGAGCCCCTTGGAATTTTTCTGGTGTGATACCCAGGCTGCTGGCTCCTTGTGGGGGGCTGTGCTGGGCTCTGGGTCACCCCAAAATCTGAGGCACCCAGGGAAGGAGCTGGGAGCTGTGGTCTCACCCAGCCACTGCCCGTCCCTGGCACCTCCATTCCCCTGGAAATCAAATCATGGGTACCCCATTTCTTATGTCTCCCCCTCTCTGGAACCCGTATCCCAGTACTCACATTCCCCAGGATCTCTATGGCCCAGGTCCCATCATTCCCAAGGAACCCTCTGCTGTTCATTCCATCCCTAAAATTCCCTTCCCAAATGACCTTGATTTTCACAGGACCCCACTTCCCACAGGAACCCCCATTCCCCCAACATCCCCATCCCATGACCCCAAATCCCTGGAAATCACATTCCTCTGGCACTCCCATCCCAGAGACCCCTCAGTTTTGGGGACCCCCATTCCCAGTGACTCTTCCCTCTCAGCACCCCCATTCCCAGGGACCCCATCCCTGGGACCCCCCATTCCCCTGGACACCCATCCCCACATCCCCAAACCCCCTGAGCACCTCATTCCTGGGAACCCCATGTCCCACTGTGTCCCACCCAGGCTTGTCCCCATCCTGTCCCCACCTTGCCCACAGCCTGTCCCCAGCTTGTGGCCACCCTGCCCCCACCAGGTGCCACCTATGCAGGAGGACAAGACTTGACCTCGCTTCCTTCCCCTTTGGCCAAATAGCCACCAGCCAGGGGACAGCCACCCCTGGCAGTGAGCGACAGCCAAGCCACATGGCTGGGGACACCGGGATGGCCGGGAAGGTGGCGCTGCCCCTGTGGGGTGAGGCACAGGCCTGACACCCTGGGGATAGAGAGGGGAGAGGGGCCCAGGGGGACTGTGGTGTCCCCTGAGGTCCCCAAAGCCAGCAGGGCATGGAGCCATGTGTGACCAGAGTTGTGGGTTAGCTTTGGGGACAGAAACAGGAGACAGGAATGAGGGGACAGGGACAGGGGGATGAAGATGTGGGTACAAGGATGTGGCAGAAGGAACCTTGGGGCTGGGGCAGCTGTGGGGACAGGGAAAGGAACACAGGAATGCAGGGACAGGGACAAGCGGACAAACACCATGTTGATGGGCCATTGGGACAGGTGCCATCAGAAATGGACCATGGGCACAGGGCCATGGGGATGTGGCTGTGGGGCTGGCAGGGGTCACCTGTGCCAGGACAGCATCTTCATGCCTGAGCAAGGGTTGGCTGCTGTGGCATTGTCCTCGAGACATGTGTGCCACACCATTGCCCCCACTGAGACCTTTCAGAAACAGCCCCACACTCCATGCCCCCGTGCTGCTGTCCGTTCAGTGGCACCCTCACCCAGCCCTGTCCCTTCTCCCTTCCAGCCCAGACCCTCGGCCTCACTGGTGAGTCCTCGAGGGATGCCATGGCCCCATCGTGCTGTCCCCAGCTCCCTGGTGGCCCTGGTAGTCTGGTGTCCTCTGTCACCCACAGGTGTCCAGACCACCCAGCTCCTGGTGGAGCCCCCCTGGACACCACCGGTGCTGTGGGACCGGGTGACACTGACCTACCAGGGCTTGGGGACCACCGATGCCACCGCCTGGTACAAGGATGGGCAGCGCTTGTGGCAGGAGAGACAGGAGCGCTTCACTGTCACCGAGAGTGGCACCTACTGGTGTGACAGACCCGGCACCGGATGCAGCCCCCTCGTGATAGTCTTACAACGTAAGGGGGGTTTGGGTGTCCCCAGCCTGGCACCCATGGGGACTCCGATGGCTCTGGGTGTGCTCCGCCCCATGGGGCACCTCCTGTGTGACCAGAGCCTGTCCCCGGCACACGGGGACATCCCAGAGCATTCCAGAGTGGGAGAAACCGTGTGGTAACTGGGGACCCCTGGTGTGCTGGGTATGACACAATGGGGGGGTCCTGGTTCCATCAGGTGTGACAGGTCCCCTCTGTCCCCCAGCCTGGCTGCTGATGCAGGAGCCAGGGCGGGCGCTTCTGGAGGGGGACACAATGACACTGCGCTGCCGGGGTTGGGAGAACAGAACGGTCAACTCGGTGTCCTTCTACCGAGAGGGGAAGGAACTGGAGAGGCTCCGCGATGGCACCAAGCTGTCCCTGCCCCTCTCTGCAGCTGAACCACAGCGGCAGCAACAGCTGCGAGGGCCAGGTGAAATTCGGGACATCAGAGAAGTTGTAGCAGTCAGTGCCGGTGACAGTGACAGTGCACGGTGAGCACTCCACAACCCCAAACCCCGACACCCCCACAGCCCCTCCCCTGGGATTCAGGCTCACAAATCCCCCTCCCCTCTCCTTCCCAGAGCTCTTCTCGGTGCCGGTGCTGGAGGGTCCCTCCAAGCCCACCGTGGAGTCCTCCCTGACTCTCAGCTGTCTCAGCACCCCCAGCCCCCTGCAGCCCCAAGCCCCCCTCCTGCGCCTGTTCTACCGGGACAGCATGTGGTGGGGGGCCCGCAGGGGTCCCCACAGCTGCTGGTGCCGCCGTGGGGATCTCCCACTCGGGGAATTACAGCTGTGAGGTGCGCTCCGAGGGTGGGGCCATGCAGAAGAGCAGCGCCTGGCTCCGCATCACAGTGCTGTGAGTGCGGGAATGGGCATGGGGAGCCCCCACAGCCTCCACAGCTCCCCCAGCCCTGCCTGGGGACTCCCAGTCCTTCCTGTCAGCTGACCTGTGGCCCCTAATTTTCCTGTATCCCTCCCTGGCTCCCCTACTCCTTTCTCTGGTCCCTCCTTGGATCCCACATGGGTACCCCCATCCTCCCCTGGCACATTTTCCGTGTCCTGCCATTGCTGACCCGGGTCCCTCCATTCTTGGCTTGTGTCCACCCATCCCTCACTGGGTCCCCTACCCCTCCCTACATCCCTCCACCCCTCTCTGAGATCCCCACACATTCCCCAGGTCCCACCATCCTCTCCCTGTATCCCTGTACCCTCCCTGGTGTCATCCCCATCCCCCTTCAGGTGTCCCTTCCCTGAACCCCCCATCCCCCTGTTTCCAATCCACCCATCTCTGCGCCCCCTCTCCCTCACTGGGATCCTCCTGCCCCTCCCTGACTACCCAGGTCCCTCACTGTCCTCTGCTGTCCCCCTCCCCTGCAGGGGTCCCACTCTCGGGGGTGTCCCCGTCAGCGCAGCCCCCCAGGGGACAGGTGGCACTCTGGAACAGCCTGGTGCTGAGCTGCACAGTGGCCATGGGGACAGGTCCCCTGTACTTCTCCTGGCACCGAGAGGGCTCAGGGGCACTGTTGGGCACTGGCCCCCCACCTGAAGCTGCCCCACGTTGGGGACAATGACAGCGACCAGTATGGTGCCGTGTCGGAGGAAGGAGACCCAGACACCAGTTGGTTCATCCAAGTCCAATTTATTGATCGAATACGGCGGGTTAAATATAGTTCTTAATAAGCTTCATACATATTGCAAAAGTTGAGCTCAGGATTGGTTAGTTACATATCAGCAACTACACCTACTTCTACATTCTTGTGCTTATTCTTCTGTTACATTCTGCAGATATCCAGGACTAATCTCACCTCCCTTTCCTCATGTTGCAGCAAGGCCATCCGGCATTCTTGCCTGTCAGCAGTCACTGAATCAGAGACTGCTGACCTCCCTTTCAAGCTTAACCAGCGGCATTAAGTCAGTATGGCCTTTCTCAGCTAACCAACTCTTAATAAAATCCTCCACATTTCCCCCGTTTTCTTCTTGAGCAAGAAGACTAGTCTGCATTTTTGCTATCATACGACTGACCATGTTTTGAATACAAGTAAAAATACAAGGCAAAATAAGCAAAAACATTAAGATCACACCCAGTAAGCCGATAGCATATGTCACAATGTTCCTTAGCCATGGTCCAAGCCCTAAGCCTTTAAGCCATTCGTCAATTCCTAAACCTTCTTCTTCTTTGAGATTGTGAAGTCCCTGTTGCAGTTCTTTTATCTTAGTGTGAATGGACACCGAATGATCAGACAAATTCATACAACACATTCCCTCAAACTCTTCACATCCATGTCCTTGTGCTAAGAGCAAAAAATCTACAGCAGCTCTATTTTGCAAAACAGCATGGTTAACACTCTGCACATCTGCAGTTAACATGTCTAGAATTTGGGATGTCTTGTTCACCTCATTTTTTGCCCAGCACCCTAATGGCTTTGCTAAATTCATAGCCTTATTGGCAGATCCTCCTGGTAAAATAGTTGAAACTACTACTTGTCTGAATGTACCCCAAAACTTTGGATCTCCAATCTGGCTGCAGTCCAAGTCATGGCTGTTGATGTGGATGACTGACATGGTGCCCTGTCGCGAGGAGAGTGCTTCTTCCAGCATTAGGGCTGCTGCTGATGTTGACACTCCTGGTCCTGCCATGGCTAGGCTGAGCCTTGCCACGAATATGGAGTCCGTTACGATGTTGAGGTGTTCGTCTTGGAAGAGTCTGCACGCCAAAACCACTGCTGCTGCCTCCAGTTGTTGCACTGACAGTGTGGGGTCCCTCGCTTTGACGCAGTGCCATTGCTCTCCTGCCTGCCACACTGCTGCTGCGGTTGAAGTCGTGGAGGAAGCGTCTGTGAAGACCGTTGGTCCCGGCTGCGGTCTGTCCTTGACCTTCGGTGGCATGTCCATGTCGACTACGGTCAGCAGCTTAGTCCAGGGTGGCTTGGAAGAGTAGGAGATTTCTCCTCCGAAGCCGGAGAGAACAAGGGCCAGGTACTCCGATATTGCGGCTGACTCTGTGGTTGGTTGCTTGCGAAACGGAAGGTGGATGCTTGTCGTCTCTGTCCCTAGGTGTTTCAAGGCGACTCTCCTGCCTTTCATGATGAGGTTGGCAATGCACTCGATTCCTGGGGAAAATGGACGAGCGGGTCTTCCGAGGACCACCCATTGGATCGGTCGGGCCTTTTCTGCAAGTCCTTGGGCCAGTGCTCCCACTCCCCCCTTCGGTGTAAAGTGGACGTACAGGTCCAGTGGCACGGCTGGGTTCCACCTGGCAAGCGTGCCAGTGGCTATCTGGTTTTCGATGAAGTCGAGGGAGCTCTTTGCTTGCTGTGTCAGCTCCTTGGGTTCCCAGGGGTTCTTTCCTTTCAGGAGGTCGTACAGAGGGTCCATGACCTCGGGAGGAATTAGGACGATGTTGCGAAGCCACTGCAGCGATCCCACCAGGCGTTGCACGTCATGGAGCGTCTCGATGTCTCGGTTGATCTTCATCTCGGGGGGTGTTACGTAGGAGCTTGTGATGCCTACTCCCAGGAAGGTCACGCAGGGTCCTCTCTTGATCTTTGCGCTCGCGATCTCGAAGCCGTTGGCTTGAAGGGTTTCTGTGACTGTGGTCACCAGGTGATCCACTTGGCTTGTCGATGGTGCTGCGACCAGGATGTCGTCCATGTACTGGATGATGGTTGCGGTGGGGTAGGAGTGTCGGACTGGCGTCAGTGCTTTGTCCACGGTGATTTGGCATATGGTGGTACTGTCGACCAGGCCTTGCGGAAGTACTCTCCATTGGAAGCGAAGGTTGGGCCGCTCGCCATTCCGAAATGCCACGGAAAAGGTGAATCGTTCTCTGTCCTCAGGGTGCAGGGGTATTGAAAAGAAGCAGTCCTTGATGTCCAGTACTGCACACGGCTGCCCTGTGGGGATGGCTGAGTTCGCGGGAAGCAGTGTCTGGACTGGACCCATGGGTCTGATCGTCTTGTTCACTTCTCTCAGGTCGTGGACGAGACGATAGCCTTGTCCGGACCTTTTGGGGACCACGAATACCGGGGTGTTCCAAGGGCTGGTGGAGGGTTCTATGTGACCCTTTTGCAGTTCTCGATCGACCAGTTCCAGCAAGGCTGCCATTCGAGGCTCTGTCAGGGGCCACTGCTCAACCCATACAGGGTCTGATGATTTCCAAGTCAATTTGATTGGCAGCGGAGGGTGTACGGCAGTGGCCCTCAGGATAAATTTGTGATCCGGAATCCTAGCAAGGAGAGAACATCCCTTCCCAACAGGGGTGGAGAATTCTGCAAAATGTAGGGCTAGATTGCTACTGTCTGTTCTGGTCCCTTTTTCGTGTGAAGTGTTATAGCCACCAGCTGGGTGCTTTTCCATGCCCGGGACTGCCCCCCCACTCCGTTCACTGGGGGGACTTCTTTGAACTGCCAATGCCCAGGCCAATGCGTTTGGGGAATAATCGTGCAGTCTGATCCCGTGTCCGCCCAAAACTGAAGCCCTATGACGTGAGGATCTTGGCTGCCGTAAAGGCAGCATGTCCCCCACACCATCAAGGGTTCCTTCCCTATTTTCATGACCAAGGCCACCCAGGGATCCCGCTCTGGGGTGTCCCCTGCTGGTCCTGTGACTCCGGCGCGGGTTGTGGTGGTGGGGGGTGCGAAGGTATTGAGGGTGCTGCACAACTCTGCCATTGTATTGCTGGGGGGGATGCAAAGGTGACTGCTCCCTGTGGGGGCATAGGGTATGAGAGTCCCCTGCCCCACTGGGGGTTGCTGTAGCTGGGCTGCTGCATATTCCAGGTGGGAGGGGGCTGAACACGGCCCAGCCACCCCCTCCCTCTCCCGTTTCCCTGGGGCCTGGATCTGCATTCCTTAGCTAAGTGCCCCTTCCTTCCACACCCCCAGCACGGTCCCCTGCCTCCCGCTTGGCGTGGTGGAGCAGCTGCTGATAGGCGCCTTGGCTGGGGGCAGTTTGCTGCCAAGTGGCCTGCCTGGCCACACTTAAGGCATGCCATCACGCTGGTTATTGCAATTTGAACTGCTGCTTGGATGGGAGCTAGATGTTCCTCCTTTGCAACGTGTCTGATCATGGCAGCTATATTAGACCCCTGTGGCAGTGATCTTAAAATGTCCTTAGTGGCTGAGTTGCATTGCTGGCGTAAGCACTCTGCCAGCACGGGACCCTTTGCCTCTGAAGGTAACGCAGAGGAATCTAATGCGGCCTGGAGCTTGTCCACGAATTGAGTGAAGCTCTCACTCTCACCCTGTTTTATGGAAGACCATGGAGAGGGTTTGGCTACCACTTTAGAAGCATCACGGATGGCTTCTCGGGCAGCTCGGGTCGTTGTCATGACCTCATGGGCTCGCAGGCCCTCAGCCTGTTGCTGGGGGGTGATCATAGTGGGGTCTGTGCCCATAAGCCTCTGTATGCTGGAGCCGTGCAGTGGATGGTCTGCCCCTGTTACCAAGGCTAGCTGTTTCATGCAATTATCCTCCCATTCTTGTTTGAAAACGATCATCCCTGCACCATCGAATATCATTCTACATGTCTGCTTAATATCGAAGGGAAGCATATCGTCCCCACCAAAAAGGCCGTCAATAAGTGTGCAAACCATGGCAGAATTAATTCCCTTATCCGCAATCGCTTTAACAATTGCCTGCACATCTTTCGGATTGACTGGTGAATAAGTCCTTTGGTTTCCGCCTGCCCCCCCCACACGGACCGGGAACACTAAAGTGGCAGACGGAGCCCATTCCGCGCAAGCCATTTTTATTTTCCGCCAGTTTGTGAGTGGGGTTTGGTTTTTCTCTGGTAACCCCTTCACCCAAGCGGGAGCACTGTGGCTAGTAACCTTACATGCCGCTTCTCTCTCTCTGTTAAAGCCGTAATCCCGATCGGAATCCTCCGATCCTATCTCGGGCTCGGAGCTCGAGCCCGAGTCCGAGCCGGAAGTTGAATAAGGAGACGCTTCCGGGCTGCTCTGCCTTTTCCCCGGACTCCGACCCCGCCCCCTCCTGTGGGGGTCGGGCCGTTCCCTCTCCCTGGGGTCCCCCCGCCTCCTGCTGGGGGAGGTCCTTGCCCTATAAGGACCTAATGTGAACTGAAGGCTCTGATTGGTCTTACGCGCCTCCGCGGGGGCCGCCCCGTCTCCCCACTCGCCCGCGCATGCGTTGTTGAGCGGGCTGACCGCGCTTCCGCCCCCCGCCTCCTCCTTTCCGCCCGGACCACGCAGTTCGGCGCCATTTTCAAACGCATATGGTGGGGGGGCGTTTTTATCGGTCCCTACGGGGTCCGCCAATTCGGCCGCGTTCCGCGCCTCCTCCACGAGCCCCCGCCAGAACGTCCGCGGGTGTTCCCCCCCCCTCCGATGGTGAATCCGCTCGCTGAGGGGGGTTTGGCGTTCGCGCCTCCGCGCGCCCGCCCGAGTCAGGCCCCTCCGCGGTTTGTGTCGCCGCGCCCACCCCCAACTGCGGCACGGCTAATAAACAAGTTCGCGCAGCTATCCAGGTTTCTTGCTCTTGTCGAGCCTTTTGCAGAGCCTGGACAACCCTGCCCCACAATTTTAGGGCTTTCCCTGAGCCCGAGGACATGGTGTCCTCCGCCAGGGCTTTTGTACAATTATCCCACACGTCCGAATGTAGGACGTCCACGGGGCTTTCAATAGCCCCAAGCTTAATCAGTCTCGGCAATGCGAGAGATAAATCCCTAAGTTTACATTCTATACCCCATTGTGCATGCATCTCTGTTACGACCTTCGCAATGGCTTCCATGGTCCACGCTGGTCCGGAGGCGTCCCTCCCACTGTGGTCAGACCTGCTGCCACAGCCGCTGATATCTGGCCAGGAGAGTTCCCGAACCCCGGGGGGCTGCAGCAGTCCCGGGTTTCGGCACCAGTTTGTTGCCTTCTGATGCAAGGCAGGCGACCTGGTTCAGACGAACAGCACAGTGGCCCACTCACCAGGGCCACTCGGGCCAATGACACACGCAGACATCAATGTGATGGACGGTCAAAAGGCGTTTATTATCTCATCTCTTGGGTTTTTATAGTCTAAGGGGTCTCTATGTCAGCATGGGTCTGTCTTTACCGTCTATGGTTAGTAAGAGGTGGACTGTTACTGGGTAGGGGATGGAAAGTTACTGGAATTTGGTTAAGGGAGGCTACATTCCTATGTTAGTTTCTTATCTATGGGAAGCAGATGGTCTTATCTAAGGGGATCTGAGGGTCCTGGCTTTCCGTGACATCGCGAGATCTTCCGCAGCGCCTTTCCCTGTCTACCACAGGGCAGACACCTGAAGAGGGAGTGGGGCAACACCAGGGAGGGTATGGGGAAACAGGGAGAGGATGGAGGGGCCTGGGGAACGTGCGGGGACCTCAGAGAGGGGTGGGGGGCAGCAAGAAGGACTGAAGGGACCCGGCGAGGGATAGGAAGACATGGGCAAGGAATGGGGCACCTGGGGAGGGACCTGGGGCAGGGAGGGCAGGACATGGAAAAAGTGTCAGGGAAGGATGGGGGTACCCATGTAGGGCTGGGGGATCAGGGGAAAGACCCAAGAAAGGATGGGGGGGCAGGGACAGGTCTGGGAAAGGTTAGGGCCACAGGGCAGGTGTCAGGGAGCGCTGGGAGTCCCCATGCAGTGCTGGCGGCCCAAGGAGGCTGTGAGGGCTCCCCATGCCCATCCCCACACTCACTGCACACCGTGATACGGAGACGGGCGCTGCTCTTCCGCACGGCCCCACCCTTCGAGTGCATCTGGCAGCTGTAATTACCCGGGTGGGAGACCCTCACAACGGGCACCAGCAGCTGCGGGGACCCCTGCCGGCCCCCCTCCACCTGCCCGTACTGGTAGAACACGTGCAGGAGGGGGTCTCGGGGCCGCAGGGGGCTGGTTGTGCTGAGGCAGCTGAGAGTCAGGGGGGACCCTTGGGTGGGTTCAAGGGGACCCTCCAGCACCGGCACCAAGAAGAGCTCTGGGAAGGAGAGGGGAGGTGAGGACTGTGATTCTGAGTCTGCTGGGAAGTGACTTTGGGAGTGTCAAGATATTGGAGTTGCAGCCGTGGGGGTGCTCACCATGCACTGTCACTGGCACTGGCACTGACTGTGCCCACATTGACATTTCGGTGTCCACCCAGCCCCTGCAGGTGTAGTGGCCACTGTGGTGCAGCTGTAGAATCAACAGGCAGAGCTTGGCCCCATAGCAGGACCTCCCCACCTCCTTGCCCCCATGGTAGAATCGCACCTCTGTGAGTGGCATGTCCCGCCAATGCCAGCAGCGCAGTGTAACCGTGTCTCCCTGCAGCAGTGCCCATGCCAACACCTGCAGCACCAGCCGGGCTGCGAGACACAGGGGTCTCAACACACCAGGGGTCCCGTTTTCATAAGGGTCCCCCCATTGGGTCACACCCAGGGCACCAGGGGTACCTGTTGGAGAATTTTGCTCAGACATGGCTTGAAGGAAAAAAGGCCATGAAAATATACAGCTGATGGGAAAGTAAAAGGCAGCTGTAAGCAGCTAAGTCTCAAGCCTGTTTCTTAGGCACATTTCTATAAACAGCAGAGTTCTCAGGCTGTTTTTTCATAACAGGTAAACATTCTGTCCTTGGTTGTTACGGAAAGCAAAAGTGACAAACATGGAGGCCTTGAGAACCATTCATATCAGGGTGAGAACACAAATCTTGGTTTCAATAACAAGCCACAGGTATTGAAAACAAAAGGAGGGATTAATGTTTAATCTGTAACCTATGATGAGCTCAGGTTTTGCAATATGTATGAGCTTAATTAACACTGTTATAAAATGCACCTGGTGGATCAATAAATCGGAGTTCGATGCTGATCAGATGATGTGTCATCTCCCTTCACTGCATCAAATGGTGACCCCGACCTCATACTGCGACACACCACGGGGAGTGAAGAAACGGGTCGGGTTCCGTAGCAGCTGGGACAGCAAAAGCACAAAGAAAAAAAAGCAGATAAAAAAGAAGCCAAGACGCGCCGTGCTCTAGGTGATCGTAAAGGCGAGCCTGGCCGAGATGTGCTGCCACGACCTCGAGGAGCTGCAAAAGCGCTTTCGATTTAGGTATGGAGAGGCAAGCAGCATATAATGTATTTATTGCTTTTTTGCAGAAAAGGCAGGTTAAAGGGATAGATTTGCAGAGGGATTTACCAGGACTTTTATCTTATGGTTATGATAGAGGAGTTTTCCTTAACCCCCATACGGTTCACGAGTTAACAGAGTGGCGTAAATTCTGTGATATAATATGGTAGGCTACTTTAGATGGTGATAAAACTGCCAAGAAGTTAGGTAAATTATGGCGGGTCGTTCACAATTAATTGCTGCAGTTGTAGGCTGAAAAAAAGGCTGCTCAGCAGGCTACCACCGCTCATGACTGTAATAAAGATTATGATCAATATAGGGAATACGATCAGGAGAGGGGAATTCCATCTGCCCCCGCAATGAGGACGGTTTCATTACCTGCTTCACTGCCGCCTTTGGCAAGCCAGGCTACACAGAGCGCTTTATTACCTGCTTCGCCACTGTCTTCGGCAAGCCAGGCTCCACAGACCACTTCTGAGGCTCCCGTATCCTCTGAACAACAGCATCCATGGCCGAGACCGCCCGGTCAGCTCCCGAAAAGCAATCAGCCGATCCCTGGGGCGGAAAACGACCTAGTGGCGGCTATTGCGAGGGAGCGACGGGAGGCGTGGGCTGCCTTGGCAAGAGATGAAATGGAAAAGGGAGATCAGGAGATTGTAAGCGTTGCTACTGAACTGGCTTGCCTGGTTGTCTTCAGTCCTCAGGATGGGGGTGGCATGCAGGCGACTATTACCGCTATTGATTGGAAATGGTTGTCTCAACTACGATCTACTGTCAGTCAGTTTGGAGTTAAAAGTGAGCCAGTCAAACAAATGTTAGATTATATTTTTGACACTAGCCTCCTTCTCGTTAATGATTGTCGTGGATTAGCTAAATTGATTTTTACTCAACATCAGCAGCTGTTATTTAATGCTCATTGGCAAGTGCTTGTTAACGAATATGTGGCAGTTCAGAGGCAGCCGGGTGACCCTCTCCATGGCATCACTATTAATGAGCTTATGGGCCTGGGACCTTTTCTTCGTACTGAGGCACAAGCTCTATTGGGCCAGAAGAAGTGCCGGGAGGCTATGAGATTAGTTAGACTCACTATAGAGAGGGTAAAAGAACCAGGAGGGGTACCCATGTATATGGGAATTAAGCAAGGGGCAGAAGAGTCATTTGGGTCATTTATTGATAAGGCTGCTGCCGCAACTGAAAGAGCTGGGGTGCCAGAATATCTTAGGGAGGCATTACTCAAGGAGTGTGCTCTCCAAAATTGTAATTCTACTACTAGGAGAGTGATTAATACTCTGGGTGCCAATTGGACTATAGAAGGAGGCATTAGAAAGGATGGCATTGGTGCCAACAGGAGCAGAAGCCTTTGTAGTAGATGCAATCAAACAAGTAGGGCTAGACCTACAAGAACAGGTGAAATCCTCTCAAAGTCAGGTGTTAGCTGCTCTTGCACCTCTTCAAACGTCAGCAGCACTGCCTCCGACAGCTAATTGGGGCCAAAAATGCCGCTCGGACACCTACGATACAAGTGCCTGCAAGCAGAGACCGGGAAGCGTGAACTGCAGGGACCACGCACTGGCTCAAGTCGTTGCTGAAGCATCAGCACCCTCTTCTGTCTCCAACCCGACACCACAGAGAGCTGCCATAGGGGGAGCGGAGCCGCCGTGGGGGGAGTGACCCGCGCCGCCACAGCTGCAGCACGGACAGAGCGCACGCTGCACCCAGGGCGGGGGGGTTCGCCCGCTCCAACACAAGCAGCGGGGGACCGGAGCGCTTTTCCAGTGCCAGGATTTCTCTCTCCGCCCCGCAGCCGGCAAGAAAGCTTCAGTTTTAGACCTAACAGCAGTAATAAATGTGACTCTTGTCAACAAAAGAAGGGATCCCTACTGCAATTAAGAAACCAGTGATAATAAACAAATGACACCAAGGACCATTGCTATCAAGACGTTTCTCACCTAAGTTAAAAGGACCTTTTGTTCTCCCTGGCAGAGACTGTGAAACAGAAATCAGCGTATTGAATGTGGGAGTCAAATTTCAGCCGATTTGGCTTAGCATTCGTTATGCTGTCAAAATCACCTGTATTAACATGGACTTTAAGCATCGGAAGCCTAGATAACTCAGTCGGTAGAACATCAGACTCCAAAATTGTATTTTGAAAAATTTAGGGATGTTGGAAGTGTGTTGGTGTGATTGTGTAAGTAAGATGTTATGAATGTGCTTTTTTGTATAAATGCTGCAGCAAACACGTGAAGAAAATTGTTTTAGCTTAGTATTTTAGAATCAGGCCTGTAAGTAAGTTATAGTAAATGCTATATTTTATTTCTATAGTAAGTTTTATTTGTTGCTAAGTAGTTTAAGTTAAATTATCTATTAGGTGCTATTTGAGCCAAATGACTAAGGGATTACAGACTGTAAAAGGACAAGAGAGGGGGAAAATGGTTTTGAATCCGCCGGAGGACTTACCTTACTGACTTTGAACTTTTCTGAGAAACCCAAGAAAAGGGTGGACGTGGAATTTCAAGGGCAGAAATGATCATTCTCAAGCTTGTTGGACACTGGGGTGGATTCCAGCATTATTAGCCCTAGCTGTTTGCCTCCTCTCCGGGTTCGCATGAATGAAAACAGCTAACAGCCTTCTTTTCTTAGTCCAATTACCACCTACCCTGCAATGCCTGATAAGGCAGGACATTATGGCTCAGTTGGGGGTGGTTTTAACCCTTAGGGGTAAAAGCCATTGCTCGGACCGTGGCTGGGGAACCTTATAGAGATACTAAGTGTGCTTTTGAATGCTTTTGCTTATTTTGCTTTTTATTTTTGGTTGTATTCAAAATATGGTCAGTAGAATGATAGAGAAACCTGGCATACTAACCACCTTGAGCAAAAAAGAAAAAAGCGGGAATTTGTTGGACAATTTTGCTCAGACATGGCTTGAAGGAAAAAAGGCCATGAAAATATACAGTTGATGGAAAAGTAAAAGGCAGCTGTAAGCAGCTAAGTCTCAAGCCTGTTTCTCAGGCACATTTCTATAAACAGCAGAGTTCTCAGGCTGTTTTTTCATAACAGGTAAACATTCTGTCCTTGGCTGTTACGGAAAGCAAAAGTGACAAACATGGAGGCCTTGAGAACCATTCATATCAGGGTGAGAACACAAATCTTGGTTTCAATAACAAGCCACAGGTATTGAAAACAAAAGGAGGGATTAATGTTTAATCTGTAACCTATGATGAGCTCAGGTTTTGCAATATGTATGAGCTTAATTAACACTGTTATAAAATGCACCTGGTGGATCAATAAATCGGAGTTCGATGCTGATCAGACGATGGGTCGTCTCCCTTCACTTCATCAGGTACCCAATTCCAACATGGGGTTCTCCACACTGGGATGCTCTGGGATGTCCACAGAGCAGGGGACGGGCTTTGGTCACACAGGAGATTACCTATGGAGCAGAGACCACCCAGAGCCCTTGGGGTCCCCGTGAGTGCCAGGTTGGGGACACCTCAAACCCCTCACCGTCTGAGACTTCATGGGGGGGCTGCACCGAGTGCCAGGTCTGTCACACATGTGGGTGCCTTCCATGTCGACAGTGAAGTGGTCGTGTTCCTCCTGCTATAGGCGTTGCTTGTCCTTGTACAAGGTAGTGTCACCAGCTGTCCCTGAGCCCTGGCAGGTCAGTGTCACCCAGTCCCACAGCACCGCCGGCCTCCAGGGGGGCTCCACAAGGAACTGGGTGGTCTGGGCACCTGCAGGTGACAGGGAACACCAGCCTGACAGGGCCAGCGTGGGGCTGGGGAGAGCGAGGCGGGGCCATGGCATCCCTTGAGAACTCACCAGCTAGCCAAGGGCCTGGGCTGGAAGGGAGAAGGGACAGGGCTCAGTGGGGGTGGAACTGTGGGGACAGAGCCACCTGGGCCACAGGGCATGATGGCTTCCCCAAACTATCCCCATGGGGACAGCAGCTCCCACTGCGAAAGCGTGTGATGGTGGTCCCCAAAAGTTACTTGTTGAAGCAGGGAGACATGTCTGTGTCACAGCCACCCATGCACCGCGTCCATGTGGTACAGACACCTTGGGAACAGGGACCCTGAGGCCACCCTGGCCTGAGTCAGAACATGGGGGCACTGTGGACACCCTGGGAATAAGGAGACCACAGACACAGCCCATGCTGGCCCAGGTCACCCCCACCAGCTCATGATCCCATCACCATGATCACATCCCATGGCCACAATTTCACTGTTCTTGTCTCCTTCTGTCCCTGCATCCCAGTTTCCTTGTCCCTCTGCCCAGAGCTACCTGAGCCCAAAGGTGCCAGTCCCCACATTCCTGTCTCCCACATCCCCATTCCCAAAATCCTACATCAGTCAGAGTCCCATCAAGGTCTGCTGTGGGTAACATGGACTGGCTCTGGGGGCATTAGGGACCTCAGGGGACCCCACAGCCCCCCTGTGCCCCGTCCCCTCCCCATCCCCAGGGTGTCAGGCCCATGTATGGGGCACTCACCTCACAGGACCAACGCCACCTTCCCGGCCATCCCAGTGTCCCCAGCCATGTGCACTGACTGTCACCGTTGCCAGGGGTGACTGTCCCCTGGCTGGTGGCTATTTGGCCAAAGGGGAAGGAAGCGAGGTCAGATCTCACCCTCATGCGTAGGTGGCACCTGGTGGGGGCAGGGTGGCCACAAGCTGGGCCCGGGCTGTGGGCAGGGTGGGGACAGGATGGGGACAAGGCTGGGTGTGACACAGTAGGACATGGGGTTCTCAGGAGTGGGGGGCTCAGAGAGTTTTGGGAGCCAGAGCTGGGTGTCCAGGGGAATGGGGGGTCCCAGGGATGGGGGCCCTGGGAATGGGGATCCTGAAGAGGGGGAATCACCAGCGACAGGGGGTGCCATGGGAATGGGGGTCCCCAGGG